GGCAAGAAATTAAGATTGAGTTCAGTCCATATGAGTTTGGATTTGTCATTATCCTTGTCTTGTGACTATGGTTTGACAATTCACATGGATAAGAACACATACACCATTAAATCTAAGTGTCATAAGGTTTCTCTCCGATTCATGAAAATGATGGTGAGGAAACACTTTGACTAAGTAGATTTTAGTTAGATAGCAATTGTGATATTTGCATTCTCAAAGTCGTTAGTGGAGCGTGTGTGGTTTACCGGCACACTAACTTGGACTTGTGAGAAATGGCAAAGGTCAAAACGATCAAGACTATGATTACGGCATCCCTTTTCATAGTTCTTAAAATTGTTTTGACACACCCATGAGCTATCTAAGGGAAGGTGTATGTTTTTGATAAAGTCTTATCAAAACAATCTAGTATCAGAAATCTGAACTTTGGTAAGAAAGTCAATAAAGTATTGATTTCTAGAAGTCGAGCTTTCTGAGTATGTCAAAGCTAGTGGGAGCATAAGTGTTATGCTAATAATCATCATGTTAGTGGGAGCATGATAATTACGATAAGTATTGCAAGCTAGCAATGTTAATTATAGAAAACAAAAGGTTTCAATTGGGAAAAAGTTGTTTTGCTATAATTAAGGGAGAGGAAATTATACTTCATCTCAAATCTATAAGCTTAGATCGTGAGGTTTTAATCATTTAGTCAAGGATATATATGAATTTCATGTTGGAATGGCTCAACATAAGGAAATTCTGTATATGGGTCCATTATTTGCGTTCTTAAATTCGATTATGATTACGGCATCCCTTTTCATAATCTGAATTATGAGAACTTGGCAAATTGAAATGGAAATGTTATAGCAAAAGACTGGTTTAGTCTTTATGTGAGACATCATGAATCGTGTCCCATATGCTTCGGATATAGGACCGATTACATGTGCTATATTCATCCTTTCTAAAATTTTCCGAATGCCGGGGCGTTAAGAATGGAAAAGGTTTAGAACTGGATATGACTAAAAGGATTAAACAATTGTCGAGGACAATCTAAGGTTTACCAAAGACTGGTTTCTCAAGGACAATTGGAAGTATAGTGATAATTCTGGAAGGACCATATTGACATAATCTGTAAGGAGGCAACTCTTGTTCAGAAGTGATAGTCAAAATGAATCGGAAATGTTTCAAAGTTAGAATTTTCAATCTGTGTAAGATTAAGGAAACTTAATGCAAGAAGGATGGTTCCAAGGACTTGATCTCCTTTGGAATGCTCTGTAATGATTGTTGTTAAGTCTTTCTGACTTTGTGCATAATCATTACAAGAGGATCGATGCATATAAGTTTAGAATCTAACAGATTTCAGTAAATGACATGAATTTGGAATTCTTGCATTTGCAGTAAGGATTTGGGAGTGTGAAAAGAGAATCATTGAAGTTATGTTCATTTGATCTAGTTCACAAAATAAAGATCATAGTCAAACATATTATGCATACTTGGTGTATGGCATGACTATTGTTTAGAAAACATAGTGTGCATGCTTGGAGCATGGGACAACTATTGTTTTAAATTCAAGAATAATGTTGATAGCTGAAACAATATACAATGAATAATGTGTAATCATATGGTGATAAATAAAAGGAGTTTTATTTATATTCATAAGTTCTGAGACCATATTGGATTCAATTATTATTGTGTTTCACTTTGCATGTTTTGACTTCCCGAATAAACTAGGTTATTCTTCCGGAATGACTAAGTTATTCAAACCATCCACAGTCGGTCATATGTTGGAAGTAGATATGAATTAAGACTGTCATGGGTTGGCTTGTAGAGGTCTAAGTTGTTGGACAAAGGGCTACAACACTCATGAGTGCTCATAAGTTCTGAGTATTGGATTCAACCCGCGCTCATTGGAATCACTTCATGGATTTTATCACGAGTGATCATGAGACGATAATATCTTATATTCTTCAAACCTAGAGATATGAGTTGTTACTATGAGTTGGTTGTACATTGATTGCACGAAACTGCATTTGGTAACTCGGTGCTATAAAACGTGTCTTTGTGTATGATTCAACAAGTAGTAGAACAAGCCATATGAGTCGAAGTTTATCCATTCCTTTTACCTTCGGGATGAAAGCGATATCTGTGGGCCCCTCGATGATTTGATGATGACAAATGGAAGTGCTCGGCCGGGCCAGGACTGATTTGATTTGTTCAATTAGTCAGTCGTCATAAATCGGAAATCGGGAAACAACTAATGGACAGAGAGAATGATTATAATCCATGTCTCAGTCCATATGATATCTAGAATGGAGGAATATATGATCCCTTATCTAATGGACAAGTCGTTGACAAAGATCAGAGTTCATCTACAAGGTCAGAGTTCGACAGAAGCTTTTGAGAGCTACGATTGCTAGTTGGTTCCTGAAGTCATACGCAATAATAGTTTTAGACTTATCCAAGTGGGAGACTGTTGGATTAATGTCTAAGTCCATAACTATAATTGGTAAGACTTGACCCGACCCGGCATGGTCCATTTGGGTTGCATGGCATCATGCACTTGGATAGACTAAATGAGAGAAATAACACTTAAGGTTGTTAATATATTATAAGTTCTAATATATTAATAAGTTATTTAATTAGTATTGATCAAGAATTAATTTGGAATTAATTAAGTGATCAAAAGAAGACTAATTAAATATATGGGTTGATTGTGTAAATCATTCATTCTTATATATGTGGGCTTGTGATCCAAGATTCCTTATGTTGGACTAAGTCCATGGGGTGACCCATGGATACTCCATGGAGGTTAAAATCCATGGAGCATAAGGAATGGGTAAAGTCATGAGTTACATGGTGTAACCCTAATAGCCACCATATAAAAGAAACCCATGGCTCAAGAAATCGTGACTATGACTAACACTATGTGTATGTATGAGGGCTACACGATTTCATGAAGTGTTCTAATTTCTCTCTAAGTTATTCCAAGTGCTTATGGTGTTGTGTGAACCATTTGAGGTGTCACACTTGGGGCACTAAGCACTCAAGCTTCATGAAGACAAGCACTATCAAAGAGGTATGTATTCTATCTTGTTATATCCATTATTTTGTATGCTAGATTAGGATAATACCTTGGATGTTCATATTTGCATGTATAATAGAGAAAACATAGATTCAAGGTATTTAGGGTTGCATGTACACTTAGGAGTGTTAGAATGCTCAAAACCCAACAATGTATGGTATGTGGTATTTTGAGAAACCCACTAAGCTTTGTGATTATAGTTTTATGGTTATGGTTTTAGGTACTTCCGGTTTAAAAGGGAAGGGTCCGTCTCGCAGGGCATCCACCCATGTTTCTACAACTATATGATTTGGGATTGTACTTTGATAATTATTTTTATTCTGAAATACTTTTGGATGATTGTAAAACGGTAATTTTTGTTTTTGATTGAATTAAATATGAAATTTTTATCTTATAATTTTTGGGATGTCACAATCTAAGAAAATTATATGTGATATATGTATGGAGAACATGACATATGGCAGAAATCATTTTTATTTATTAGGTTATTAAAATGACAAAAAATTTATTAGTATTTGAAGAAGAACCATTTCTTCTTCTTCTTCTTTTTTTTTTTTTTTTTTGTTTTTTTTTTTTTTTTGGGAAAATGACTTAGGAGGGTAACTACCTCTTACCCGTGTTCACATATTAGCAACTTCTTTTTATTTGTTCATAAAAAAGCAACTAACTTGTTTTACTTGTTTAAATTAAACCAATTTTACCAGTTAATACTAGTTTTAATTGGTAAGTCAAATTAACTCAGTTAAAAGAAATTACATGGTATATGACGTGTCTATTACACCCTTTGTCCGGATTCGACTTCATTTAATCACGGTGAATCTACCTCGTTTAATTAGGGTTCTTAACAGATACTCCAAATCCTTCCCCAAATTGTTCCCGATTAATTACTTTTCTGAGAAATCACTTGATCGAAGCAATAGGAGCTCATTGTTTGGAACTGAAGTTGGGACTCGAAATTGTCGACTGTAGACACTACAATGGAATCACCTAACAGTACGTATCTCACTGTATATTTTCACTACATGTTATGTGGTACCTGAAATATAGGTTGACATTGAAGTTCTTGAATTTGATGTGGAGGCTAACATTGAAGCTCATGAAGTTGACGTGGAAGCTAACATTGAAGTACCCGAAGTGGATGCTAACACTTAAGCTCCTTTAGTTCAAGATTTCATTGAAGAAGAGATTCAAGATGAAGTGGAACATTAAATTCAAGTTAACATTCAAGAAGAAGTTCAAGATAATGTGGAATAGGAAATTCAAGACAATGCAGAAATTCAAGTTAGTAAGAGGACAAGAAAAAGTTAAGAAAGAATTAGAAAGATTATGCAAGGGAAGAACATAGGGAGGAAAGAGGGAAGCGGTAATGAACACTCACTAGAGATTTGAATTAAATGTCTTGTTTATATTTTTGCACAACTTTTGGTATGCATGTTTTGGAATCTTGGGTCTTGTAATAGCTTTTGGCACAATGGGACAAACTTGACACATCTTTTGGAATGTTTGGTACTTTAACATCTTGGGTCTCTTATGTTTAGGAATCTTTTGTATTGTAAGGCACTTTAGCATCTCTATTTAAGTACATGTTTATTTAGATGTTTGTATACATTACATGTTTACTTAGATGTTTGTACAAGTTCATTATATGTCAAACTTTAGTCATGATATATCAATGTTACATATTGGTAATGTCATTTGTGATGTTTATAATGTTATTTGTGTTCCCTGTCTTTAACATCTTTTGCGCAAGTTCATTTACATTTTTTATACAATTTTATCATAATACATCAAGTATTAAACATCAAACTTTAGTCATGATACATCAAAATTATGCTACATTAACTCAAACACATGCTTTAGTCATAACTTTCATTGCATACAAAACTTCACTAAGTACATGACTTAGTCATAATATATCAAACAAGATACAAAGAACACATCAAACTTTAAAAACTACATCTTTAACATACAAGAAAAATAACATAAATAATGCAACTTTATGAGTAAAAAACTCCCACTTGACTTTGTCCAGTTCTTGTCTGAAAACCAAATCATAGTTCTTCTCTTCTTCCAACTTCTTCCTGCATATGCTAATTTTGTTTTCCAAATTTCCAAGCTTCAATGTTAGGTTGTAGATTTGTCCCAAATCACAGTTCTTCTCTACTTCATACTCATCCTCTTCCAGCCATTCCCAAAAATTACATTTTGGAGTTCTTGCACTCTTAAGTAAATGATAAAGAAAGGTTAAATTGAAGAGAAGATGAAGAAGAAGATTTAGTTAGGGATGATTAAAAAGAAAACATATTTACCAAAGAGTTTTGACAAACTCGAAATTTTTTTCCAGGATTCTCGGGTGTTCTTGAAATCTTCACACACGATGACATGTCACACTTACATGGATGGTCAGCTTGCAATTCGGCATTGTGTTTGGAAGAGGCGGATGAAGCAGAAGAAGTCATTGTCGATATTGTCGATCTAGGGCTTTAACGTATAAATGAACCATATAACACACGTTATATAATGAGGTGATGTGTGCTATGCCATATAGATGCCACATACTATCTTGTGTATGCCACCCAAGCCTTGATTTAGCCATATCAACTGAAACTGGTATTAGTTAGTAATATTTGTGTAATTTAAACAAGTAAAACAAGTTGGTTGTTTTTTTATGTACAAAAAAGAAGAAGTTTCCGATATGTAAACAAGGGTAAAAGGTAGTTACTCTCCTAAGTCATTTCCATTTTTTTTTCAAGTTACAACCTTTTTAGAAAATTTGGATTCGGGACTATTTTTCTATTTTTGAAATACCTTTTTCTTCTTTTGCCTTTCTTTTATTTCTCATCGTCTTTCATTATCTTTCAAAATCTTATTTTTCAATGAAGAATTGTGGGTTTTTTCTTATATCTATTTTATCATTATCTTTCAAAATCGTAAACAAGTTTGAAAATTTCAAACTAAATATGTTTTCGAACCTTCGCATTAAAAAAGAAAAAACGTTTAAAATTTCAAACTAATTTTTCTTAAAAACAACTTTTGAACTTGTTTTTTTTTTTTTTTTGGGAAAAAACATATCAAATTTTGCAAATTTTCCAACTTTACAAACAAATGATAGGAAAAAAGTATTGCGGAATATAAAGCAGTAAAAAAAATCCAAATTTTTTAAAATTATGACCATTTGGAAAAAAATAGAAAGCTAGAAAAATAATCATTTTTGTCTTCAAACTCTAATAAAATTTTGGTGGGGTGAATATCCCTCTATTTAAAGTATTTATTTGATTGTTAAACGATACTCGGTCACTAAGGTGTCGTTTTTTCAATAATTTTATTACTTTATTATAGATAATTAAGAAATGTAGATCAACTTTTATGTATTATTATTGTATAAAAAGTGAAAATTTTATAGTACAAATTAACGTATGTATTTGATAAAAAAAAACAAACTATGATCGTAAAGTTATAACTAAACATTATAATTAGGAATAAAATAATTTAACACATAAAATATATGTAAATAAACTTTTATTTTAAATGAAACTTTTCAAAATTTTCATTTTACTTTTTCAATTAAATTAATTAAAAACTAACCATAAATATTTTTTTTCTATGAAATGAATGATTCTGTATCAAATAACGTTTTATAAAACTTATCACAAAAATATAAAACAATAGTAAGATTTTTTTTCATATATATATAAACAGTTTCAATGACCTTTATTGTAACTAAATCATTATTTATAAATTTATCGTAAATATCATGATTGTGTTGTTGAACATTTTTTCTTTTAAGTATTGTAACTTTTTTTTTCAAATTATTGATCATAGATAAAATTGAAATAAATCTAAATTTAAAAAAAATGTATGTGTTTTTTTAGGTTAGAAAATTTCTAAAGAGCTTTGAAAACCCTGGTTCATATCTGCACCAAGAAGATGACGTGCAGACCTTTTTAGGTCTCAGTCTTCAAAAAAAAAAACAATCCGCGAAACTTAATGTTTGTAAGTGGTCTGCACGGCGCAGATATAAAAGGCCATGAAGATATACAAATAAAAAACAAACTACACTCTTAATATAGTATTTTAATATCGGTTACAATTAGATAAAAATAAACAATATGATAGTGCAGATAAAACATATAATTAGTAAATATTTTGATTAAGAAATACAGTTAAAACGATCGTAAAAACTAATAAACAAGTTTTTTTTTTTTCTTTTAATACATCCTATTCATTTCGTTCAAAACGTTAACTTAACGACGTAGAGCAAAGAAAAGTTCAATGTTTTATGTCAATAATCTTTTGTTTACACTCTCCATATTATTTAAACAAAAAATAATATGTAAATGTCAATTACTTTTCAATTTTAACCGATTATTTTGTAAATTTGAGAATTTGAATTGTGTCTTGGTGTACAAAAGTCCTGACAATTAATGCATTATATCACATGCTTATAATTCACTCAACTCAGTTATATTAATTCCATTAAATAGCTAGAGTAATTTAGTTTTTAATTCATTAAATAGTAGTTTTATGAGACTTAAATGCAATGATAATAATCATACCTTAAAAAAAAACATTTGGTTAAATTTAAATATTACAAGAAAACTAAATTAAATAAAATAATCATCGAATTTCCTTTTATGTTTTTCTATTTGTTCACTCAAATACAAAAGTTTACAAATCAAATCAAATCAAATATGAGAAAACCTATAGAGGGATTGAATTGTTTTTTCTTTTCTGGAATAATTCGAATCACGTGGGATTTTTGTTTACGAAAACTTTAATGCAATACTAACTTAAAGAATACACAATCTAACAACTACTTATAAAATACACAATTTAATTCTAAAAATGATCTCTAAATTAAATTCAAATATGATTTTTAATATACATTTTTCAAGATCATAAAAAAATCTATTATAAATGCCCCCAAAATTTGTCAATTCAAGATCAGGAAGTTATATTGATGTTGGATGTCAAATTTCATTTTGGAAAAATCTCTTATTCTTACACTTCATAAATAGCAAAGTTTCATGTACCACTTTACTACCAACAAAACCTATATATATTCGAACCTATTTAGCCAGACAAAATTTATTCTAAAGTTTAATGATGAGTTCATATATTTCATGAGAATGTGAATGTAATTGTGGTCCAAATGAGAAATAAATAAAAGAAGGGTGGAGGGTTTGAAAATAAATAAGGTGATGGGTACATGTGGATCCATAGAAGTAGATGGGGTTTCTTTATATCTATGAACATTGCATGTGAAGCTTAAATGTCCCTCCAACCACTCTTCCATTCAACCAAACAACCCCCTTTGAGGGTACTTATGTTCCTCAAATAATAAAAATTAACTTATAAATATCAGATAAATATATAACAGTAACAATAACAAGTAATAATAACACACCTTAAACATCCCATTAAAATAAAAAAATTAGTAGTAGATGACAACAATCATGTTTAGAATGGTTGCATTATATACATGTATATAACTCCCCATCATGTACACAAAAAAATAAATAAATAAATAAATAAATAAATAAATAAATCCACGTGAGTAGAACAACTACCGATCATTTTCTACTTACAAATAACAAATAAACATAATTTTATTAACAACATTACATTTAACTATGGAACAAACTTATAAGTGACAAATAAACATAAATTTTAATAAAATCATTATTTTGGTTCGAGTTGGATCTTAGCTTTAAGTTTTTACACAATTCAATATCATTTTCTACTCTCGAATCACATTTGACTTTCTTGGCATAAGTCAAAACAATTGGTGACATCACTTATACGATCTCAATCATTATTTGAATTTTGAACTTTGAATATGAACACGATGATGATTTTTTAATGTAGGCCCAAGTAATAGAATTTTATTTTTATTTTCATTTTCAATTTTTGAATTTGATATGCATATAATAATGAACTTGGGATATGCCAGATTGTCTATATTTGATCAAGACCCTACAAATATTTATGAAGGATCCCTATTAAATTCATGTCTTTTTCTTGTTATTCGTTTGACATATCCTTAGTGTATTAATTAATTTATTTATTCAAACTCATGATTTTAAGTTATCATAACAAAAATCTGAATAAATTGTAGCCGAATAATAAAAATTACAAATTATGATTTATGAACATATAATTAGCACGTGTATGTATTGATTATCGGGACAATACTATCGGGCCATCTCCTCTGCTCTTGACTGAATACCTTTCAAGAACTCAACAAGTATACGTTGCTGATACGAACCTCCCTCCTGTTTGCATTTAATTTTATTTTAAAAAAATATTTACAAATTTAATAACATGAAACAAGATTTTTTTTTTTTTTTTTAAAAGTGCAAACCGTTCGAATTAGTGTCCTTTCGATTCGTTTCTTTATAACCGCATAAAGTTCATCCGGTGAGATATCGCCTTTAAAAGGAGTCAAATGATTGATCAACAAATTATTCCATTCCGACTCCGGAGCTGCCATGAAAACACCAGTTAGTTGAACTGACTGTGACTGTGACTGTGTCTGATATCGAAGGTAGAAAAGTAGCACCTTTGATGATTTCCTCAAGACATTGTTCGGCTTTTAAAACTTTGTTTCCTGCAACAAACAATTCACGGATTAAAAACGAGTTAATTTCGTTCAAATACAATATGAAATTTGTTATAAATGTAGAGCACCTTTCATGGCATAACTACGTTTCGAGAGGACTCTTGATGCATAAAGTTGTAAAACTTTTTGCAACATTGCCTCAAGACCTGGCTTGTCTCTATCTTCCTTTGCCTGAAATTTGCAGATACTTTCAACGATGAGGGCATTCACGTCTTTTGCACAGATAGGAGATCAAAAGCGGGTCCCCTTTCCATCTTTTTAGGTGGAACAATAAATTGCAATTATTGTCCGACCGACATCGGTCAGAGTCAAAGTCTCGTTCAAATGCATGTCTAACACAGTTCAAAGCTATCTGTATTGTCATGTCATGTCATGTCAGGTATCAGATACCTGTCGGAGTTGTGCGTTGACTTCTGATAAAAACCCCTCGTCCAGCTGTCCTTCCTGCTCCCTTTGATTTACTTCCTGCGATATTATAATCAAATATCAGTAGCATACTATGACAACATTCAAAAAAAGGGTAAAATAGGAAAATTTTGATATGGGAAGGGCAAAATAGGAAACTGTACTTTTTCCATGAGATTGAGGGCGTTAGGGTCACGGGGAGGCCAACAAATCTCTTCCACGTCATCAACTACTGGTTTTAAGATGTCCTTGAGAACATCAGTAGCTGACTCTATTTTTTCCTACAAGAAGAAGAAAACTGCTATATGTGTAAAAAAAAGGGAGAAAGATAAAATTAAAAAAAAAAAAAACATTATTATAATTAACGATAACTAGAAAAATGTTTAAAGTAAGTATACATTGGTCTTGTGTACAACACGATCAACTATGCTC